TTTTTTGGGAACAATGCTCCAATCTATTCGTGGGGAGCCGCACGTGATGGGAACCGGGCCCAGCGTCCCATTTGAAACATGAAACATGTTTGAGCCAAACCTGCTTCACAGAAGATCGAAAGTCTTGGGCAGGACCGATTTGTAGAACTTTCCTGCTGTTCCCGCACCTGATACATCGAGATACAAAAAGCTAGGACCCCTTTCATATTTAACCACCCCTGCCAGGAGTAGACATGAAAACATTTGGACTGAGGACTTATCTGGTTCAAGTGTGGTATAGCGGCTCTATGACATCCATAGCCATGGTTACTTCTGCCAACCATGACTGCTTCTTGGTTGTGATGACGTACCCTCTGTTGGGTATCAGCTGTTTAGTTTCTTTCTCTAGGTAACATCTACTGGGCTAGGGGGTACCCGAGTGCTACCTGAGACAAAGAGAGACTTTGAGTTTGGGTTTGTCGAACGAAAACCAGTGCAACAGATCTCCCGCAAGCAAATCCTCCGCTTCTCTCCCAACTACTCTATCCTTCCCTCCTCTCCCAATCACTTTATAATTTCTGCAACATCGAAGCATTTAGACAGTTGCTGCTGAAGTCAATGCAAAACTGCATTCTTCACGGTCATACACAATCCTTCCAAACCCTTTATTCAAGGAGAGAGAGAGAGAGACTGTCGGGACCATCCTCCTTGTGGGAGGGAGTGTCTTCTCTTTTTTGGACAACTTGTCAATTTATTTGTGTCATCCACTTGTCGATTTATTTGTGTCATCCACTTGTCGATTTATTGGTGTCATCCACTTGTCGATTTATTTGTGCCATCCTTGTGCAGGGGTCTGCTAATCTTCTCTGTATCAATCCAATTTCAAGTAGATATCTCACAGGGCTTCGTTTTTGGAGGTTTGTTGTTTGCATGGTCGAAACCTAATATTATCTGCTTGATTAATTGAGAAATTAAACCCGTCTATGGGTCTGAATATTACAGCAAGTAGCCACCGGAGCAGGAAGCCATAGCTTAGAGTGAGTGACCAGTGCTACAGCCCGCTGCCCTTCCTGTGCTCTTTCTCCAAGGTTGATGACAACTGTGCCTCATCGCTCTTGGCACTGATCTGATGATAGTATCATGATACCCATGCTGAGCAAGAAGCACAAAATTAGGGTTGTGGTATTATCCCTGCTTTGCTCAGCCAGTTGCTGTTTTTTTTTCTGAACGCAACAACCTAACCTAGAGCTCAACTGGATTTTTCATTCAATTAGCGTAGACTAGTCCCTGCTGACGTTCCAAAACAACTTCAAGACCACTGTTGTCCAGGACAGATGATCGATGAAAGAAAGGCGAGCCAAGAACAGGACAAACTCCTCTCTGTTGAATCACTGAGTCACTTGCAAAAAGCACAATCAGATGCAAGTTTGCATTTCTATGGATAAGCAACAGACAAGTAAGAGAAATCGGGACATCCGTTAAAATTGGAACGATACAGAGAAGATTAGCATGGCCCGTGCGCAAGGATGACACGCATAAATCGAGAAACGGTCCAAATTAAAAAAAAAAAAAAAAAAAGGTAAGAGAAACACAAAAGTCAACACAACAGCCTGAAATGCTTGGAAATCTATGAGCAAACTGAAGTATGTTCAAAAAAATAACCGTCTTCGCCCAAATAGAGCGTACCGTCATTAAAGGTTACTTTGGGCCACCTCTCAGTCTACATACAGCTATAATGACCACATGTTCTATTCGGGGGACGACAGTTGTGGATGCTAAACAACATTGAAGTACCATCTGCGTTATGAACATACCTGCTGCAACATATCTTTCATTGCCTTAGCCTTCCTCTGTGAGGGCACGACACCAATAATGCACAAAGGCGAGTCGAGCTTGCAAATGTGATCCATGTTTCCCTTGGAGAGGAACGGAATCTCCCCACCGCCAGTGTCCGTTTGCTGGTTGAAGGACCCTTTCATTTTCATTGCTTTGGACTCCAGCTTGGCCATCCAAGAGGCCAATGGTAGAACTGCAGGCTCGCCGACAAATGGCACCACCTCCCCATTCGGAAGAACTCCAACGACAGATGGTGCCGACTTGATGCTGTACTTGACTGCAATTGGATTAGCTGCCAGAGCATCGCCGACCTGGGTACATGACCAAAGCACAGCAATTCCAAGTGATAACATTTCAGAACCATGGCTTCTTTGTCTTCTTTGTAAAACACTCTTTTCTTGCGGCTCTCTCGACGCCCTCGCAACCCCAAAGTGCCAGCAGCGTTGACGACATTATCACTCTGTCAGCTGCAAGACTCCTCACTTCATCAACTCATAGGCGGTAGCTGGAGGACACAATAATAACTCCAAGCGCAACATTGTGATTCCAGACATTGACGGAGTGCGGTTATGCCAGAGAATACCCATTCCATGGTAGAATTACTAGAATATAATAATATTCATGGCTGTACCGTGGAGATCTGCATGGTCGGTGACTTCACGTACAAGCATCTGCTGCTGAAGTCTTCTGGTTGCATCGCCGTAGTCTAGGGTAGCATAGGCACTGTGTGATCATAGTCTGCGCACTGAGCCCCAATCGGGAGAAGAGACATTGGATACATTGTTGATGGTGGCCAGATTGGGCTGACATTGACAATTGAATTCATTGCTTTGGTCTCCTTTGGTGTGTATTTGGTGGATTACGTTTTCTGGACAGCGCAGAACTATCGGGCTTTTAATGTGATATTGAAATTTAGATTTCTGCCATTTCGCTCTCGCTCATTTCTCTTGCAAATAATAAATCATTTCGAAATTCCAGTTTCAGACTCGACAACACAAATTCCAGACATCATACAATTGCCAGTGGAGACGTACCCGCACTTCAAAGAGCGCCAAACGGTCCCGGAATTGACCACTTAGGGCCCGCCAGATTGCAGGAGTTGAAGACTTACTGGTGAAAAGAATAGCCTGATGATAGCGGGCACAGCAACAAAACAGACAAGAAGAGAATTATTTCATAGGTAATAAGTACTAATAAGAAGGTTACAATTCCCTCATGGTACAGAAACACCTTTATGACAGACTATAGCAGACAATCAAACCTGGCCTGAACTAAGTTTTATTTCATATGGGCTCCAGGACTGCATCATCAGCTAGATGCCCGTCTATAATAGCAATAGGCATCATAACCAGGGTTACATACCTGTCAACCCCGACCGCCGAGTACAGCCCAAATCCGCTGAGAAACT